CTTTATTAATACAGGTATATATTGATTTATAAGTAGATTAACCTCTACAAGGTAATTCTACGCCAATTTAAATAATAAAGAAAGGATTGCTAAAACAAAAAAAAATATCCATAGAATAGTCTTGTATATTAAAGTTTAAAACTAAACTATCTGTATAAAAAGTAATTTTAGAGAATTAAGTATTAGAGTTGGCAATAGTTTAAAAATTTTAATAAAAGATTTAGATTCAAATATAGATAGAATTGAAGCAGAGTTGTAGAGAATATTGAAGATAGATAAAATATGAAAAGGGTAATAAATAGCAATAGAGTATATTAAATCTAAATAATTAGTATAAGGTTTAATAGTTTTTTCTTGAGAGTTATAGATACAAAAAAATTTAAATACTAAATTAATAGAAATAAATATTATACATCTATTGGCAATAAGATTAGAATTATAAAAACAACCAGGATATATATATATTAAAATTAATAAGAAGAGTTAGATATAATTTGGTAAATTGTAATAGAAAAGAGTATTGCCAATATATAATAAAACAAGACTAATTGAGATGATCTATCATCTTGCTTTATCTACTATTATTTGATTCTCAATAGTAGTTATAAGCTATAGCTTTGATTTTAAGAAAAAGTAACTAGTAAAAAAGCTGTAGTGATTAATATTAGAAAGGTTGTATTTAAGAATAATAAAGTTTCTAGATTCAGAACCTTAGAACCTGGTTTTAGAACCTGATTTTTAAAACCAGGTTCCAATTTTGAAATCTAGATTTTTAGATTCATGATAAGTTCTTAGATTCATAATAGGTTTTTAGATTTATAATAAATTTTTAGATTCATAATGGGTTCTTAAATTTATGATAGGTTCTTAGAAAAATAAAAAGGTGTATTTATAGAGATCACGTATTTATTTGAGCCTAAATTTAAGAATGCTTTAGAGAGGTGATGAAAATTTGTGTATTGTATTAGGAGGTGGCCGAATAACTTACACCAAAATCGTTCGGTGTTCACATAAGGCATGTCGGATAAATATTATTATTAAGTCACATTAGTATATTCTAGTTTCAATGTGAAGAATTATTAGCAATTATTTGCTTATTATAGATAATCAAAAAGATTGCCAAAAATGAAATAATATTTAATAACTTCATGTTAAGAGTAATTCAATTGATTAATGAGTATTGAATTAATATGAATTAATTAATATGATGGAGTAAATTACAAGAATTCCAAATCGTATGTTCAGTACTATGAAGTGATCAAGTTTATCTTTTTTATTACGCGCAGCACCAACTGTTGTGGTTCCCATCATTAACATTATTATTGTAAAAGCGGTATATATTTAGATGTAACTAATTAAACTGAAGTTAATTACATTAATTAGCGTGAAATAAAAGGAACAAATCTAATTTTGGGAGAGGATTATTGTAAAACCGATTAATAACGATCGATAAGGCATAAACAATACATCCTGTCTAAATTAGAGTTATTGGCATAATGAAAAATTTGGCGCATACGTAATTTATTTGGACTAAGATTATATAATGACCGGAATAACCAAAAAAAAGAAATTGGCCAATGATGGACGTAAATTGGTTTATTCCAGATCAGAGAAATCTGAACATGTGTGAAATAGAAAAAAAAAGTAAAAAACGGAAATTAAGATTTTAATCGGCCTTGGTGTACTAATTAAAAGTGGTGGGAATGAAATTTTACATATAGTAAGCAATAAATTATTCCTATAACCCTTAATTTCCACGTTCTTAGTTTATTTTTATGTCGAATTTTTTCATTGGAATGTATCATTCACAAAATGATTTTAAATAATACTGTAATACTTGCAGTAATAATGTTAAAAAATTTTCCGTCAGCGGAAAACAAACTGTTTTACATGACATGGCAAATGACATATCGATTTTTTTTTTGATTTGACTAATGTTACGAACCTTTTCATTATGAGTATTCAAAATATATATGTATTTAATACGCACAGTTGTAGTTTTTAAATAGCCTGCATATTGGTTATCTTTTACTTAAATATAATTTGTATCATCTGAGTTGAAAATATTTGCTTAATATAGTATATAGTATGCTTATCAATGTTAGGGAAAAAAAAATCTATGATCAAAAAAAATTTATATAAACTAATAGAATTTCTTTTCAAATTTACAATTCGACCTAACTATGGATAGTAAAACTTTTAATAAATTATTTGTATTCATTCTTTTTCCAATTTATTGTTATCAATTTTTATTGTTGATTCCAATATAACAACTACCACCACTACAATAACCGTCACCACAACTGACACCATTTGCACATCCACGCCTACCCCTAATCTTAGTTGCCCTCAAAATGATGAGGACTACAACAATTCTGAAAAAACATCTAATCTAGAAAAACGGTTTTATAAAAAACGAAAACATGAACCTATTAAAAAACAAAAACATAAACCTATTAAAGAAGAAAAACATAAACCTATTAAAACACAGGAACATAAACCTACTCCTTGTAAAACTGCTACTTGTACTCTTACAAAAACTGAATGTGTTACTCCAACGCCTACATGTGCACCCCTAAGCGCACCATGTAATATTAGTCACCAGGAATTATGCTGTACTGGGTTGTGTTCTACGCTCAGTCCTTCATTTGGATGCTGTAATCCTAAAGGTCAACCATGTCCTATTTTTTCACCACAAGTATGCTGTGGAGGTACTTGTAATATTGTGGCAGGCTCAAGCCCGCCTACCTACACATGTCTATTTTAATTATTTCACGAGAATAATATATAGTTATTGGGTGCGAAGCAGCAAATAATATCTTTTACTATTTACAATCCTGTTTAATTATTATTCAACCTTTTTTTTAATAAATTCGAAAACTTTTTTTAATAAAGATAAGATCTTTTTGTGGAAAACCTATAGTATTACTTTAAATCAAAAGTTGACAATGGGTCACAGTTCGTCTTTACTTTTGCAATTGAAAACAGAAAAAGTAGTATAAAATGTCTAAACATATAAATGATCCTAAAACATGCCTTATTATAAAATTTTGTAAATAATAATAATAATAATAATAATAAGGGTTTTATAGTTTATTGCATGGACTTTCGTCTGATTGGCTGATGTAAATCAATTACCAGTGTAACTTATTTATACACTTTAGAATACTTTACAAGAACGTGACGTTTCACTAATAAAAAATCGCCGTAAAATTCATTCTTAGTTATAAATATTCACTGCTTAAGAAAAACTGCTCCTCTCACAGTTTTACACATAGTCTATAAGTTTCAAGTCTTTAGCTTAGAAACTCGTAGCAAAAACATCAAAAACCAGTTTTGGTTTTCCTAACCAAACTTTTATTTATTT